TCCCCACGTCGGCATCCAGGCAATATCTGAGACTGACCCACACGACGTGTGGCCTGTAAAATAAATCGCAATCTAGCCAGGCGGTGACAGTCTTTCGGCTCGAAGTTGGATCCACAGCGTAGACGGAAAGAGCGACGAAGCAAGGGATAAAAACCTACAGCAGAGATAAAAGCTTGGAAAAAGTTAACAGCTTAAAAGTTACAGCGCTGTCTCAAAAGGCAAGCAAGTTTGATCATCACTCACGAGTTTTTCCTCATCCTCGCAGCCTCCCGTTGCCACGGGCGACAACCACTATCGTCTGCCTTCTCTAGTTGTCTCCTAGGCTCCTCTCGCAGACTCAGTCTCTCCCATCCTCATCTCTCACGCATTGAGCAGCACATCCTTCGTCGGGTAACGACCACGGACGGGACTTTTTTCACGAACGAAACAAGTACGAAGTTTACGTCGTTGTCCTAAGGCTTTATACCTTGTTTTCGAAGAAGTGAAATTTTGCCTTACTTCTCTGTTGGACTTCGCCTCCCGCTACACATACATCACCCCACCCCGCCTGTCCTCCTCTCTTCCTCACCCCTTCTCTACCCTCTCCCCCTCTTCTACCCTCTCCCCTCTTCTACCCTCTCCCCTCCTTTACCCTTCTCCCCCTCTCTACCCTCTCCCCTCCTCTACCCTCTCCCCTCCTCTACCCTCTCCCCTCCTCTACCCTCTTCCCCTCCTCTACCCTCTACCCCTTCTCTACCCTCTCTGCCTCTACCCTCTCCCCCTCTTCTACCTTCTCCCCCTCCTCTACCCTCACCCCTCCTTCGTCACATCTGGCCGCAGCGTTGTGAGATCTAGAGACAGCTGCCGGCATCTTCAGCCAACATGTGCTTCTTCCTCGGCCTCTTTCTGCTGCAGTGGTGGCTGTCTGAGAAGTCATACTGGACAGACGAAGATGCGTATTATTATAGACGCGGCTAGGAATAGCAGCAGCACCACCACCACTGACATCACCATCAACAGTAGAGAAATAGCAGCAGCACCACCACCACTGACATCATCATCAACAGTAGAGAAATAGCAGCAGCAACATCACTGACATCACCATCAACAGTAGAGAAATAGCAGCAGCAACACAAACCAGCAAGAACATCACCACCAATATCAGCAGTAGAAGCAGCAACACCACTACCGACAGCAACAGTAACAGTAGCAGCAGAAGCAGTAGCAACAGCAGAAACAGTAGCAACAGCAGCAGTAGCAGCAGTAACACCCAACAGCAGAAACAGTAACAGTAACAGTAACAGCAGCAGCAGCAGCAGCAGCAGCAGAAACACTAACAGTAGCAGCAGAAGCAACAGTAACAGTAACAGCAGCAGCAGCAGCAGCAGCAGCAGCAGCAGAAGCAGTAGCAACAGCAGCAGCAGCAGCAGCAGAAACAGTAGCAACAGCAGCAGCAGTAGCAGCAGCAGAAACAGTAGCAGTAGCAGTAGCAGTAGCGGCGGCTAGCGCCCGTCTATACCCTCTCCCCGTGAGGAGGGGAGAAATTAAAGACCAGCGTGTTGATCATACACAGCTGGGAGACCGCTGCTGCGAGGCGTGCCTCTCTCTCCCTCGCCCTCTCCCTCTCTCTGTCTCTCTACATTCGTTCGGACTGTCTGTATCACGGTGTGTGTGTGCTACGGAGGGAGAGAGAGCGCGTGAGAGCGCGCTCGGCGAGTGTTTGTGAGTTTATAACGTTCAATATATCAAGACTCGTTCGCATACTTTCACTCGAAACTTTCGCCGCGGGAGTATAAACCACTGGGGGCGACCGCCGTTGTCTAGTGTGCGTGCGTGAGCGAGTGTGTGTGTGTGTGTGTGTGCGTGTGCGTGCGTGTGAGTTCGCGATCGGACCCCAGTGGTGACGTAACTGCTTGCGTGAAATTCGTCGCGCAGTGTTCTTGGCATTCAGGGGAAAGCGTTTGTGACTCCCCAGCGATTCACGACGAAAAAGATAAAAGAAAAGGAAAAAGAAGAAGAAGAAAGAAAGAAAGAGAGAAAGAAAGAAAGAAGGAAAACCGATCAAAGAATCGGAGTCGTAAAAGAATAGCTTTTCGAAAAAGAAACGAAAACAAGAGACGCGTCGCCGCGTGCGCCCCCACCCGGCGACCGAACGCGACTCTCTCTCTCTCGTCGCTGAGCAGTGAAAGAGAGAGGGAACGGCGAACCAACTTCGTGAAAAAAGCGCGCGAAGTTCTACTGTGTGTGTGTGTGTGTGCTTTTTTTTAGTGCGTGTGAATTTTTATTGCCGTGCTATGTTTTGGCTTCTCGTCTGCTACGTACTGGCGGCACAGCGACGCTGACGGTGACGGCAGCAGACTCGCGGCCGCGTCGGTACGCTCGCGCGCGTGTAGATTTCAATACGCCGCGTCAGACGCCTCGGCGTTACTATACGGACACGTAGATTGCAACCGCATACCGCAATAGCGAGGATTTTCGTGTACATTTCGGCCTGCGTAGTGAACTATTAGCAAAAGACACATGAGAGATTTCGTCGCCTGCTCAGCACGCGTGAGGCGCGCGTAGATTTCTGCCCGCATACCGGAGATCGAGAGATCGTCGCAGGAAGAAGAGCGTGCGTGCGATGAGCGACTCGCCGCCGCCCGCGAACGACAGAGACGACAGCGATGAGATCCTGTCGGCTCTCGAGCGAGAGCTAAACAGCCTCAACGCCGCCTCGGAACTCCGCTCCCCCGCCACCGCCGGGGGGCGCCCCTACCGCAGCCTCCCGCGCAACTACGTGCCGCCAGGGGACGACGACGCGCCGCCGCCGCCGGAGTACGGAGCGTCGGCGGCGGCGCGGGAGCCGCGGCGGTTTACGTTCGACCACGCCGCGCGCGCGCCGCCGCTCTACCGGCGCGACCTGCTGGCGGACGAAGACGAGTACCGCACGTACCCGTACCAGCGGCGGCGCTACGAGGGGGCGCCGGCGTACGCGGCGACGCCGTCGAGCCCGACGCACGGCGCGCGGCCATGCTCGACGTGTCGTTACCATGACGACGGCTCGGCGTCTGCGTACAGCCTCGTGCCGCACAGCCCCGCCGCCGTCTACCCGTCGTTCTACCCGTGGAGACCGCTGTACAAGGTAGCGTGTGATCGCGAGCATGCAGCGGCGCCCCCTGCTGGCGTCGTCAACCCCTTGCGCACCGTCGTCCCGGCATGGTCGCTAGCGCCCCCTGTTGGGTGCGGTGCTGATGTCGTGGCTGCCATTGCTAGTCAGCGTCATCACCAGCGCCACCTGTTGGATGCCTTGCTAGCGTCACTGCTGGCGCCTCGCCTCGGTGCATGCGGGCGTGGCGCTGGCTGTGTGTGCTGCTTCTGTTGGGGTGGATTCCTAGAGGACTGGGATGTCGTAACCATGGCCTGCCGTCTTCTACTAACACAGACGTCATTAGAAAGCTGCACGCATGTGTCGAAGCTTGTCCCCTCACAGGCTGATGTAGCGTCTAGGTGTGTACAGGGCAGAGCCATGTAGGGCCTGTATTCACACCACTCCCTACCTTCGTACGTACTGTGAAGGTGCTGTAAGGGAGTGCAGTGAGAACTA